TTCAATAAAAACTCGGCTCCAATGTGGTCGTGCTTTACGGCGAAGCGGACTATTTGAACGTCAGGACGTGTCCCAAGACATCATGACAAGTTGTGACGTGGGGGAGGGGACCCCGGGCTGAGGTCAGAAGCGACATCCATAAGGAGGGTCGCATTTGGCCTTCCGCCTTCTTGACGGAGAGGCCTAGTAGTACTGCTCGGAAGAGTCCCACTGATTTGATGGTTCCGAGCCCTACAACCTGCGAAAGCGATCGCGGGCGCTGTCCTTAATGAGTTATACAGGCGCTTTATTATATTCTATTCGATTGAGTTGTACATAAGCTGCTGATCAGGTCGCGAACTTTGCCCTACATTTACTTTTTCTTTTGCTTCGCCATTTGGTTCTTCTCTCGGGCTACTTTCACACTACGTACCACTTCCAGCGAATAAATGCTCTTGAAACCAGTACCAAGTACAATGTGGAAAGTGTGATAGCTAGCGGATCGGGATAAGATATAAGAGCAAGCGAGGAAAGCAAAGCAGTCAATGCTCCGTGACCACGCAAGTTGGAAGTTTTAAAGTGGCTCAGTGGTGCGCCTGTTCCGTTCGAATCTCGCTGTCCTCTATATTTCTCGCAAGATAACTTGATCGTTCCCTGTTCCCTGGAGAAGATTGTGTGTGCACTTTATCGTACTATTTTGCCAAAAGTCAAATGTAAGCGCAAGTCGACTATGGGGAAGGGTACTCAGGCATTTATAGGCACGTTCCACGTTCAGAAACGGTGGATGTTGCGGATTGCGTTAGAATGGCATGATGGTAAATCCCTCAACAGTGGAAAAAAAACCCGCGTTAGGACCCCATGCCGTTCCGAGCTCGTGCCACCATGGAGGGAAGCGAGGATATGTTTGGATGAGCTCTCACCTATTGGTATCATACATATCACCTTCTTACCCTTATTATATAACTTCACCATTCGATCTGGAAAGAATTACTAGCGGAACAGCTGTAGTAGATAGCAGTTGGAAATTGATGTTGGGCAGTAGGCGGAACCTTGCCTTCGTCACGAGCGCCTAGCATCTTTATCTGTGTTTTCAAGCCATAAAGTTCATCTGTTTGCTAGCAGAACAGACTGCCTTTTCTAGTGAAGGCGTCTGCATCGCAGGAGAACGCGGGACGTTCCTTTGAAGTAGGAATAGTGCAGAACTGGCGATACAGTCGCCGTGTGGATTCTTTGCTCAGCCCGGGAGTAGCTTTGAGGCGTGTGGCGAATCAATTCCTTTGCGAAAAAGGGCTTCGATATTGTTCAATAGGAATACCAGTTTTCGTGCAAACCGCAGAGTCTCCTGCCGCATGGTCTGCTCTGCGCAATGTCTATTTGAAAGCGATAACTCGTAATAATACTCTCCCATTGCAAAAGCCAGTAAAGAAGGATTTCACCATTGCCTGAGGTTTCTGTCTCTTGTGCTCTCTGCTCTGGTAGTCTACGTTCGCTTGGTAGATATTTTGACATCGTCAAGGGCATGAAGAGCGTCAGTTAAACTCTGCACAGGTAATTACGCGGAACTGATGGTAACCGGTTGGCATGCGACCTGGCCAATATTCCGTGCATGGCTCCGCTTCCCTTTTCGACCTTGCTATGCCATGACGAGTCGTCGCTACCTGGGGGGTATGTTTTGAAATGTAGAAAGCGCAGGTATTTCATTTGTTTTCTGACAGGAATACGTTGACCTTCATACCAATGGTTTAGCCGATTTTTGACATTGTAAGAACAGTTGATGTTGTAAAATCCTGAAATAAACTCACTACTGGACGTTGAGTAGTTCAAATCTTCAGATTTTCTCAAACCTTCCACTTTACAGTGGTAGAGCTTGGTCCCTCCAAAAACTCGAAGTTCCGCGTTGTTTTCAAAGCTGGAGATGGAGAGTATGTGAGGCCTTGGCGGATGACTCTGGTACCCCTTTCATGGTGCGGTGATCAAACAACGGATCGTATTATGTTCATCCTCTCATCGTATTATCTTTTTGAGGCTGATTAATGTCGGATTCGACTGGAAGGGCAAAAACCGTACCCCTTTAGTAGCCTGCACAAACAGATTTTGGTTTAGCTGAGTGCCACTGTGATTGGGATGGAGGCCGATTATGTGCCGTAATCCAAGATTGAATTGATTAACACTAAGTAGTTTAATCTCATCTCTTATCCCAGGCAGTATGTGCCTCGAGAGGGTCTAGTCTGCAATGTTGGTACAGCTTCATAGGAGCTAGCGATTTTATGGGGAAGTCGGATGTGTGAACCCCGGCTTGGAAAACAACGCGGAGCCTTGAATCTTTGAAGAGACACAGATGGTATAGCTCTACGACTGTAAAGTGGGAGGTTTGAGAAAATCTGAAGATTGAACTATTCAAAGTCCAGCAAATGCGGGGTTATTTCAGGATTTTACACCGGGTTGTTGTAAATTGAAAAGTCGGCTAAACCATTGGTTTGAACTCATTCCTTGACAAGTGGAATGAACTCATTCGTGGACATATGGAATGTGCGAAGTAGCTCACCCCATTTCCCTCTCAGAATCTCGTTTTCCCATATGCGTTATTGGTTGCTGGCGCGCAGACTGGCCCTCCTGAAGCTCTAGCCATTTTTTGTCAGTTTGAAGACATCGTTCCATTGCCGTTGTAACGACATACTCTGTGGGAAAGTCACACAGTAGTTGTTCTTTTGATTTGGTGACGGTCTTTGCTGTATGCCGTCAAGGCGGATGTTTGATTTCTTTATGATTTCATAGCTCTCTCAGAAAAGAATAGAATGCTGTAAAGGTCCATACGCCTCCCGCGTCGATGAACTTCAAACGTTAATCCTAAGCTGGTGGTCTATGTAGGTGCTGTTCGCTACGCATAACTTAAGGAGAGGGTTGCAGAATATTAACAGAAGCTTTTCGATTGTCTATCCAAGCAGATGTGAAGTCAGGTTTCTGAAATACAGAATTGCAGGATTTTGTTTCTATTATGAACTGTTTTAGAGATTTGTGCATCTTGCTTAATAACATAGAAAGGAGATGTGATAACTGTCCAAATGTATAACTGTAGGGCTGTATAACATTTTCAATTGGACACCTTTTGAACCAAATTGGACACTTCAAATCAAATCGAGCATTTTTCATATCAGATCTACAGCCCCTTACACTACAGTTGATTATCTAGACAACGCTAGGTAATGCATCAAGCCCCGATCCAACACCCTCGCCCATTTCACAGTGCAGTCACGGTTTTCCGCAAGTCATTTTGTAAACTCTACTTCTCTGACGTTTTTTGCCTTTTTTGCTACTTGTCACAAACGCACTGGAAAGGATTGGTACCGGCAAAGGTACGACTTTCACCCACGTTCGAAAAATGATCAAATGGTCCACGCAGGCTAAAGTCTGATCTAGCTGGTTATGGTCTCGCGCTTGACCCGGAACGAAAAACCAAGGGAATTTTGTTCTGGATGAAGCGGGAGACCGTAGCAGGTAGGTCGGTGTCTATCCTGCTGATCTGAATCATTTTTCTCAAGCGGAGTCGTCCCTGTGCTGATACCAGTCCTTTTCAGTTAGCGTGTTTGTGAGAGGTAGCAAAAAAGCAAAAAGTCAGAGGAGCAGAGTTTATAATATGACTTGCAGAAAACCGTGACCCCACTGGTAAAAGGGCGGGGTGTTTGGGCGGGTTTTGCTGCAGTAGCTAGTGTGGTCTAGACAATCAACTGTACTGCAAGGTGTGTATTCGATTTGATTTGAAGAGTGTCCAATTTGGTTAGAAAAAAAAGTGTCCGATTTTGTTCGAAAAGTGTCTTCTATTTGAAACGGAAATGGTGTTTCTAGTGGCAGGAGGCAACGTTTAACGGCAACGCGTTAATGAATGAGTGAAAGCGCTAGAGCGCATTCATAGTTCGCGATCGCGCGATTGGATCGCACGATCCTCAAGTATGAACATGCTCATAGCCGGAGGAGAGGAACTGACGATCGACCTTGGCAAGCTGCCCATAAGAAGAGATGGGAGACTAGTGAAAGCAAGCTGCTGAAAGAGGATCGTCGCTCGACCTCGGTAAGCTGTCCATAGGAAGGAATGGGAGACTGTTGTTGATGCACGACTGCATGAGCTTTTCTAGGAACTTTGGTGAACTGCGGGGTTTTTATCATCAGTATAGCTCCCCGCTGTAGAGTTACCTACTGCGACATGAATACTCTAGTCGCTGGAGTAACTGTGTTGTCACTTTCCGTCAGCCGTGTGCAGCGTAGAATTCTAACTGCTGCCACCGAGTTCAGGGTTTTTGAACGGACGCAGAATGGTTTGTTTGTTTATAGATAGTGGTGCTTTCTAATCAGTTTCACCTTTACACAATCGTGCACTCTATCATTGGCTATTGACAAAGCATTTCGCTGTGTGGAAGGGGGTGCCAAACCTTAATGGGATGTGCGCCATGCGTTTGTGTGTTGTCCATTGCTTGCCGGGATTGATTGTTTTCCGTGCGCGACAGCCCGACGGACATGCACTTTAACCTTCCCGGAATCATTCTTGTTTATCCCTCTGTCCGTGTGTTCTTGAGCTTATAGCCCTAGAACCTATTTCCTTCAAAGTGCTTTCACAGCGGAATGTCCCATCTTTCGGTTGCTCGGGGTTATTTCCCATCCTTCGGGTACTCGGGTTAAACTGCAGGGATCTGTGGTCAGGCAGAGCATACCATCTTTAATCGCACTGTCTCCGATCAGCAGGCGAGCTCGACAAGTTGTATAATAATCATTACTGGGACCATTCATGTACTGCTCCTTATCACTCCATGTTTGATTACGTTCCTAGGATGTTTTTTCCTCTGCTATCAAACCCAGTATGCACTTGTCGGATGCCATTGAATTGCTTTGTGCTTCTTTTACACATTCTCTGGTTCTTTGATTCTTTTCACGCCCATCTTATTCGTTTCCAGAGTCTGTTGTCGTGCTTCACCTTTGTTGTCGTCGTCCTTTGCTGTTTTAGGAACATAGTAATCAACTGACTTTCAGACATGCCTATCACGAAAATTCACGCTCGTCAGATCTACGACTCTCGGGGTAACCCGACTGTAGAAGTGGATCTTTACACTACAGCACATAGGTTAGACTCGCTAAATCTCGCGAAACAGAAGTACAGAAACTTTCTTGTTATATTGGGACATTTGTAATTAGAATTAGCTGACAAGATTAGGAAGTATATAAGTGTATGCCCTCAATATTTATAAAGTTGAATCCTTAATAAAGATGACCGACCGTAGCAGGAAAAATCTGGTAGGTGCCAGGAGTGGCTGCACCTTCGCTGTCACGAACTGGGTGGAATACTCATCCACTGCGACTTTGATTTGTGCGTGTTAGTTAGAAGACACTAGATTAACTCATTCGGTCATAGCGAATGATACAAGGTTCTCATCACCTGTTCCTTGTTCCGCATGCTTAGCAAATCCCACATATTGAAAGTTGTTCGCTTCAATGGACAGACTTGCTACTTTGTAAAGTCGTTCTGTTAAAAATATGTGCCAGCTGCTGAACGAGTTCTGCCGAATCGTTCCTTGATTCGCATGGTGCTAAAACTTCCAAAGTCCTGAACATTCCGCGATAAACGCCAAGGCGCAGACTGTTTTGGAGGGGTATCTCTCTAGTTTCCATCGATGTAGACCTACAAACTCTTGTGAAGCGAACAAATTGTACGGTACTGGCTTGTACGGCTCCAAGGCGAACAGCACACGCAAATCTTTATTTCATTTGGTGGTGTCCTAAAAGAAAAACCCATCAAATGAAAGTCTTAGTGGGCTGTAATCTCTTCATGGTTCCTAATTAATGCTGTGTTTTCTTCAACATCCAAAAGTAGCCCGATTTCTGCGAATCTAAGTTGCTGAGGCAGCTGAAGGTTTGGAGCTTTACAAATAGTGCAAATTTCAATGTGTTCAGCCACATTAAGGACGCGTTCATACTTTGCGATCAAGAAGATTGCGACTAGGAGGCTTGGTGATTGAAGATCGAACAACGGGGGAAGTATAGGTATCGATCTAGTTACTGGGAGATGAGCGGTAAGGCGATTTAGGACACTCGGCATTTCCGGCGATTGCGCACCGAAAGAGCGGATGGACGGCGCTGGTTGCTAGGGCTTTTTTTGAAAATTCTGTGCGCAGGCGATTTCGGAGATTGAGCAATCCAGCGATTTAAGAGACTCAGCGATCTGGTGTTTCAGGAGATCGCGGATTGCCGGATCTCCACAACAGCTTGCGACCTGTGCCGACCGATACCCATCTCCTCCTTTGACGGGCGGTCTCCTCGTCTCGAACGCCGAGTCTCTAAAATCGCCGAATCTCCTCAGTCGCGAAGGTATGAACGCGGCCTAACTGGCGCATCTGCTCAGCTTGTGACGTCGTAACTAACAAGAAACAGAAATGGGATTCGAGCAATCTAAAAATATTTCCACCAGTTTTCGACACATTTCCCAAAAGGAAAGCGATATTATAGGTGTTTTTCGTGCGGCAGTTCCATCGGGTGCTTCAACAGGAGTTCACGAGGCTCTTGAACTCCGTGACAAGGACAAGAAAGTTCATCATGGAAAAGGAGTTCTAAAAGCTGTTGCCAATATTAACGAGAAAATTGCTCCTGCTCTTATTGCTAAGGTTATACTTTGGCAGCTAGTGTTGCAGTAGTACACATGCTTCTATAAAAAAAAACAATTTTCAGAACTTCTGTGTCACCCAACAACGAGATATCGATCAGTTCATGCTCGCTCTTGATGGAACAGAGAACAAGTCGAACCTTGGGGCTAATGCCATCCTTGGTGTTTCTCTCGCTGTTGCCAAGGCTGGAGCTGTCCACAAGGGCATGCCTCTTTACAAGTACCTCGCCGAACTGGCTGGTGTCAGTAAGGTAATGGTTTGCAATAAATTGCATTTTTTATATGAGCATATACCCTCTATTTGGGGCTGGGAAATCATGAAGTGTTCTTTTTCTGCTGTTTTGACGTTTTTAGGATTAATTTTAATTTTGCTGCTCATGATTTCTGTGATTTCCAGGTTATTCTGCCTGTACCTGCTTTCAATGTTATCAATGGTGGTTCCCATGCTGGAAACAAGCTTGCTATGCAGGTATAGAATACCCTAGTATTTGCAGGTATTTTGCCTCTTATGTTATCCAAGTTAATATTTCATTTGCGTTCAGGAGTTCATGATCTTGCCAGTTGGTGCCACGAGCTTCCACGAAGCCATGCGAATGGGATCGGAAGTCTACCATCACCTGAAAGCGGAGATAAAGAAAAGGTGCTTTGTATCGATTTACTGCTTGATGACCTTGGTAGATGATATTTGTTTTGTAGATATGGTCTTGATGCCACAGCTGTAGGAGACGAGGGTGGTTTCGCACCTAATATCCAAGATAATAAGGAGGGACTTGACCTACTCAAAACTGCCATTGACTTGGCTGGATACACAGGAAAGGTAAGGAGCTACTGTCTAGAGCTGCTGGGAACCGAAGTGTTTTCATTGAGTCACTACCTTTTCCATCTTGTTGGTCGACTACTTCTGTAATGTGATGCTGTTTTTAGATCTCCATAGGTATGGATGTCGCTGCTTCAGAGTTCTACAAGGAAGGCAAATACGATTTGGACTTCAAAAATCCCAAGTCAGATCCCAGCAAGGTTAGCTGTGCGTCTTCTTCAACCTCATGGAGGGTCTCTTCTCCACCTCTACTGTCAATGGATATCAAAAAATTTTGTTCATTTTGTATTGGTTAATTTTAAGTGGCTCACTGGAGACCAGCTTGCCGAGCTCTACCAGACCTTCATCAAGGAGTACCCTGTCGTATCAATCGAAGACGCCTTCGATCAAGATGACTGGGACAACTGGGGCAAGCTCAAGGTGATCTACTAGTCGTATCAGAAGTCTGAGCGCACTTCTATACATAAGAAAACGCTCTCTTTTTCCAGGCTGCTACCAATATCCAGCTTGTGGGTGATGACCTGACTGTCACGAATCCAAAGCGTATTCGCCAGGCTATTGACAAGAAGAGCTGCAACTGTCTCTTGCTGAAGGTTCGCCTTTCTGTTGATGTCGGAGGTGTGCAGTTCATGAATAATGCCCCTTTCAGGTCAATCAGATCGGTTCAGTCACTGAGTCGATTGAAGCTGCTAAGCTGTCTCGCTCAAATGGCTGGGGTGTAATGGTCTCTCACCGATCTGGAGAAACTGAGGACACCTTCATCGCCGATCTTGTTGTCGGTCTTGCCACTGGCCAGGTATACTTCCTTCAACTATGGTAGTTGGGGGAACTTCGGCGACGGAGGGGGCGTTTGCACTTTCGTTGCTTCACTAGTTCCGTTTACAAGTCTCACTCTGGTGAAACCTGTGAACTCTTGTGAAGCTGGAGCAAGCTCGTCAAGCCACCATGGTAAAACCTGTCAACTTAAGAAGGCTCTCTGAATGGGTGGACACGTCGATGGGACATAGCAACAATGTAACAGCCCCCTCCTCCCCCCCCCCCCCCCTTCCTGTCGCCGAGTGCCCCTGTGTCAGTAATAGTTATTTTCTTCTTGCATCTATTATTGATTTGTTATATTTAGATCAAAACTGGTGCCCCATGCCGCTCAGAGCGTTTAGCCAAGTACAACCAGCTGCTTCGTATTGAGGAGGAACTTGGCAAAGACGCAGTCTACGCCGGAGAAAACTTCCGTAACCCTGTTTAAGGCTGCCTCCCACTTCTCATCGTCTTTACCCTAACACAATCCCATTTCGTTTATCTGTGTAGCGTGTTAGTTTCGTGCACCGTGGCATTTGTTGTGTTAGCGGATAGAGTATCTGCAGTAATTACGTGTAGCTAACAACAAATAGTCGTAAACCGGTGATTGTCTCAATTTTTTTTCTAGCTAAATAAAGGTTTATAAGAGTGTTTTGATGCTCCTGCCACGAGACTTCCATGTGGGGACCCTATCTGTTCAACGATCCGCCCCGTCGTCCCTTTGAAAGCTTAAGGCTCAAACCTTATCAAACGAACGCCTTGCACTCTCTAACATTCCCAGGGTCTCAGGATCACGTAAAAATGCTCAAAGTTGAATCCCAGTTCGTGATCCACCATAAGGCTGCGCGGCAAGGCTATTACTCAGCCACTATTAAAACGTTTATGCCGAGTTCTTGACTGTGATTACAGCGAAGGTACACTCCTTATCCCTGAGACGGAACACGCGCGGCTTGAACATAGCATCAGATGGGTTAATCGTGGGATATTTTAGTTACACTGTCATTTGTTCAATGCCATTGAAACGAGCGGCCCAGGCCATCAGGCGCATCCACGTTTGTTTGAAGTAGGCAATCCCTCTCCTCCTTCATCGCGACTAGTTCTACTGCGGGGTACTTCTAGGTACTGTTTTCAAAGTATTGTTCACAGTGTGTGAACCAGCCGTATCGAAAAAGATTTTGATAGTCGGCAGGCAATTCGTCGTCGAATCCGCCGCTTAGGCAGCATCCAGACCAGGGCACGCCATTGCGTTGTGATCATTTCCTGAAAAATACGACCCCCCTAATTCCATCTTCAAGTACGACCCCCCTCCCCATGTTACTTCCCTAGATTTTTCCAACCTCCTACCACTTTGTCTATTTTTTCCCAAAAAGTTTCTGGTTTTTTTACAAAATTTTGCTGTCGAGCGGGGGGGGAGTACCTACGTACGTCCCAAGCACGTCCAGCACTCTGGCGCTGGTGTAGCATACTGACAATACGTACGAGGAAGGGGCGATGATAGGAGCTACGATCACCGCCCACAAGGGCCCCATGAATTTATAAACAAACAAGAGGACTCACGACGTGACGATTAATAAACAGATGAAAGTACATTCCCGGACTTTTCTGATCGTAGGAGCACATTTGCTTGCAATTGGGAAGCCCTATCTAGAAGTTACACCTTTCAAACACCTGCGTGAAAGCCCCATGCATGGCGCATTGCATATGTGATGCCAATTGGCGCCCAATGGCCTATTACCTGATATGCTTGACGAAAACATGTGTTTCAGAAGCATACCAAAGTCTTCGAGCCAACTGGAGGTTTCCTGGCCTCGGAGGGGTTGATTTTTCGGTGTCGTGGGGGGTGATTACAAAATGATCACAACGGGGAATTTTTTAGTAGGTCTAGGAAGGAAATTAAAACCTTGCTGGAAAGTAGAAATCTTCAAGCTTCCGGCACAGTTCTTTTTTTTACGAAAGGTCGTGTATGAAGCTTGCCATGGACGTCCAAAGCGTAGCGACTCGCGGTTCGCAAAAATGATCACAGACGGATCACAACGATGATCACAACGGGGAAAATCTCTGGAATCGGAACGTTTTTGAAATCGCTCAATTCAGGTGACAAGAGCCAACCTAGCTCTACTCATTCCCACTTACCCCTCTCCGATAGCTTCACTTTCAACGAAGTTATGGGTGTTCAAATGAGGGGTACTTTTCACGTGTTTGGCTTGAAATTGGCTCCAAACCGTAAAATAGCGCGCACCAATGCGCTTGTATGAGCGCGCTGACCGCGAACAGCCAAAATTCAAAAGTAATCCATAGTTCCGGTTCCCAGCTGAGCGGTGAGTTTTTTCTTATCCATTTTATTGTGAATTACTTTGATTGTTTGTTTTTGTTGAGTTTGATTTTGTTTTGTTGAGTTTGATTTTGTTGTGAGGAAATTGCTCAGGATTCAATTTCTACGGTTTCATAGGTAGCTTTTGCAATGGATTTTTCTAGATTTTGCGGATTAGTGGATTGGGATTTATCTAGACCAGATGAGGAGGGTTGGTGGGCGAAGTGTCTTGAAGTTTTTTTGTGAGGAAGGAGGAAAAAGTTTCAGCAATATTTTTTTTAGTTTTGGCCTAGGAATAGTTCGATAGTGCCTAGTTCTATTTATTGTCATCTACATCGTCCCTTTTGAGCTTCTTTTTCACTTGTACCGTGTATCACCGCTCTCTCCACTTCAACATGGGCCATGCGTTTACGACCCCCCCTCCATCGCGGGCAAATACGACCCCCTGTTGTGATGATCACAAAGATGGCGTGCCCTGGTCCAGACTTCGCGACGCAGCGCTTCGGTCGCGCGTTCGACGCGATCGATGCAGTCAAAAAAATGCGCATCGATCGCGTTGAACGCGCGACCGAAGCGCTGCCGTCGCAAAGTCTGAACGCTGCCTTACACGTATCGACAGGATTTAATTATATTAGGTTGACCGGAAAGTTTCCCGCCATTGAATTGGTGAGGAATCCAACGGCCAAGCTTTGCGACTTTACCAATCTTCTCCAGCCCAGATTCAACAGTTGATTGGGCATGGCCGAGCATCGCTGCAAGTTCCCTGGTAGTGGCGTACGGATCCTCTTCCACGGTGGATTGCAGCAACTTCAAGTCTAACTCCATCGGCCGGCCGGACCTTGGAGCATCTTGGAGAGAAAAATCTCCTTTCTTGAACTTGGCCATCCAGGTCTTGCACGTGTCGTAAGAGATAGCGTCAGCGCCATATGTATCCACTATCTTGGCTTGGGCTTCCTTTGCGTTTAAGCCAGACTGATGAAGGAAAAGAAGACAGTGCCTCAGGTGCATCCTGTCGGGTTGAAACTTGGGCGGCATTTTGGAATCCAAATGCAAGCTGGGTGAGTGTGAGGTAGTGATGTGAAAGAGTCTCTTGCGTGCTTCATGCACACCCCACGATAAGTCATAAACATACATGCAAGGCTAATATGGTGCGATCAAACAGGTGGCGGGAAACTTTCCGGTCAACCTAATAAGTTCAGGTTGCCACAAGATTATAAGTTCAGGTTGTCAGGCAACATACAGTACCCCCCAAATTTGCGCGTCAAGTGAAAAACATCCATGTTTGGTGCACCACCACACTACATTACACGCCAATCTCACTACTTCTCTGCAGAATGTGTTGTTTAAGGACAATTTAGATGTTAATACTTCTAGCATATCACTATACGGTCATTATAGTTATCGTTATTATTAACTATTCCTACACAGATTTTTCAAAAAGAATCTAGTTTTTGTCCGGATATTTCTGTGGCTGCAGATTTGGTTGAAAACTCAGTTCTAGGGAAATTCAACCACCTGAATAGGGGAATCACATTAATTTTGCGTTAAGTTGCCAGGCCCCGCGCCACAGCGCTGGCGCCAGGATACCCAAAATCACCAAATCCGCCATAAACTTGTACTTTAACTTAACTTTACTCTACTTTAGGTGTAAATACTTTGCGTCAGCGTCTTGGGCGTTTCGAGCGTAAGCAGCGTTTTGAGCAACTATGAAAGTGTAGACATCGATTTAGCAGCTTTTGAGCGTTTGCTTATAGTTTGGGACTGTTCGCGGGAGGCGCTGAAAACGCTAAAACGTACGCGCATGTAGTTCGATCTCTATGCTTTCCCAGCCGCTCTAAACGGTCCCGTACGCTCTTAACGCTACAACAAAGTATGGACGCAGTCTTGCTATGCCGCTTACATTCTGCATACATTCTCAAACTGTTACCTGCACTATAAATGATAAATGATATCAAGCCAAAGTTGAATGAAGACAATCACTAGTGTTCAGGGCGGTACTCCGCTCTGGGGAAAGGAGAGAGAAGACGTTTTGTAAACACTTGTGAATGTGGTGTTACGCTTTATAAAGTCTTGTAAACTTATACAAAGCTGAGAAATGGTACGTTTCGGGCTGCGTACGATATGCTCGACCTCCTAAACACGAATGTCACATCCGCTCAGCCTAAAGCAGCTTGGATATCCACGACCACCGAATCCGGCGAAAACTTGCGCTTTAAGGTAGACTGGCTACCTAAGCACGGGTGTCACATCCGCTCAAGATGGAACTGCCTGGCACCCTCGCAATGGTACCCTGGATTGCCGAATTCGCAGAAAACTTGTGCTCGGGGGTTGTTCGACCTCCTGAACACGAATATCACATCCGCTCAACCTGGAGCTGCCTGCCGCCCGCGCAAAAAAACCGTGGATCACTGAATCAGCTGAGAACCTGTACACAGGATCTAGACGTCCAGGTTATGGACATGATCACCATCCTTACATTACTATTGTCTTCTGCCAGGGCTGCCTGCCCCAAAGGAACTGTCAGGCACAGCCTCATCAGAGTGCTAAATGGCGGTGATTGCGCTAATGAGTGCCGTGCTCCTGTCATCATCAAAAGTCGTCAAACCTTATGGGCCAAGTTTCACTAAGAAATTGTTTGACTTTTCGCAATGGAAATAGTTGAGCAGCGCCTGCCTTTCTTTCAGAACATGAGAAACTATAAAATACAACACATATTTATTAGATTCAACTTTACAAAGGTTTCATTATTCATACACCTTTGACTTCTTTTAAAATCAAATTTGTAGAATTTTTTTCACAAATTCCGGCTTCGAAGTGCAGAGCGTCGCGAGAGCCTTATCGGAGTAGTGTTCGGAATGCGCCCGACGTCAGGGAGTTCCAATCGCTTCTTCAGACAACTTTGATTGGACGAAATCTTCTCCCGGCACATTGTATTCAGCGCTCTTTCCTGCTGCTTACAGATATTGTTCTTTTCCAGAGGATGTCGCCTTCTTCCCCTTACTTTGTTTCAACTGGTCTATCATTGCTTTAGTGTAGCCATGGCGATCGAAAAGATGATCATATAGAGCACTTCCTTTCAAATCGGCTGCTCAGTCAACACAAGGCATGTTCTGAAGTGAACCCTAATTGACCAAATG